GCGGAAAAGAGGCATCTTGGTTTTGCTCTGTCTTTGATAAGGAAGTTGTTGTGGTTTGGGGGCTGAAGTTTGTACTAGCGTTTTTGGCTCACGTTTGCAAGGAGTGAGCGGTTTGATATGTGATTCTTTCTCTCCCAAAACAAGTCCTCAGCTTCTGTCTTCCTTTGGAAAATGATTGTCGCACCCCAAGGGAACCTTGCCGTGTAATTTGTTGGTAATAGAGGGGAACAGACCTCGGAGGAAGAAGGGTTTCCAACATCAGAATGGAATTGTCTTAAATGAGAGAAATGGGGGTGTTGGAAAGGCCAGGCACGCTGTTAGCTTTCCCTGGCTCAGAATAAGCGACTTCTGGGGGAGAACTGGAGCAAAGCTTGCTTTCTGGGAGCTACCGCAGGGCTGCCTTCCTTTCATCGCTAGTGATTGTGTCCTTGGACTCAGCATCCCAGAAGGGAGAGGGAGACAGGGAGGCACTTGCACACATGGGCCTATGGTAGTTTGTGGGCTGACATGTGAAATATGGGTTATCCACTCACTGATACGCTCTCTCCCTTGGGGGCTCATGGCTTTTGGGGAAGACGGTGCAGCTGCAGTCCCAGCCATCCCTTGCAGGTCCGGGGATGCTGTGCCGCTCTCTAAGCACCCTCTTCCTCCCCGTGGGAGGTGCCGCGTCCTTCTAGGCATCCTCGCTGAGCAGTTCCTGAGCCTTGGGCTGTGGTTTGAAAGGCAGGACACAGCTCCGCACGTTTGCTTAGAGGTGCTGGGTCTGGGGTTAAAAGTTAACAGCGCGCTTTCCTTATTCGGTTCTAATTTAATTTGGGAAGGCAGCAGGGAGACAGAGGGCACTTAGTCTGCTAAGTGCTATTCCCTTGATGGGAGTTAGTAGCTTGCACGACGTGCATGGCATCGACTTCATAAACTGACCTTTGCCTCCATTAGGTTCATTTTAAAAAAAAAAAAAAAAAAATATCCCAACCCCCAACCTCTTATTTATTCTTTAGGCAGTGAGGATGTAAATCCTTCAGCATGTTTGGATTTATAGAATTACTGTGCTTTTGCTGAGCCTCACGTCCCACTCCAATCAAATGACACGGCTTTTGGTAACCGTGCGGGTGATTGTGTTTTTTCTACCCCCCCCCGCCCCCGCCTTCCTGCTGGCTGCTCCCCATCCATGCCTCCTCGTGCTCCCTGCGGCTTTTTTGGGGACAGGTGGGCCCTCGGCACCTATGGGAAGGGACAGGAGTGGGACTGGGCAAGTCTTAGGGTTATCAGCATCTGTGTGTGAAGTGTAACAACCTCCAGGTGTCTTCTTTCCTGGCCCAGAATAAAAAAAATGCTAAAATGCTTTCATAGGAGGCATTTCATCAGCTGTTGCCTCCTCGTGCTCCCTGCGGCTTTTTTGGGGACAGGTGGGCCCTCGGCACCTATGGGAAGGGACAGGAGTGGGACTGGGCAAGTCTTAGGGTTATCAGCATCTGTGTGTGAAGTGTAACAACCTCCAGGTGTCTTCTTTCCTGGCCCAGAATAAAAAAAATGCTAAAATGCTTTCATAGGAGGCATTTCATCAGCTGTGTTACAGGCCTCCTCTGAAACCCGAGCGTTTCCGTGGTGGCTGGGGAGAGGGGGGAGATATAAATATCTTTCTCGGCTCTGCTTGGCTTTTCCCCAAGATAAATAGAAGTGAAAGCCGAAAGTGGAGGCTCGGCCTTCTGAAATCTCTTCCTGAGTCCTCAGGGACGCGAGCGCAGGATGCTTTCGTGATGGGAAGCCAGCTCCTGGTGTCTTGGGGCTCTCAGGGGATGAGGTTTGAGGGGTTTCCCTCCCCACTGCCTGAAGCAGATCTTGGCTGTCCGGTGGCTGGGCTGTGATCCCCACGCCTGGTGTGCGGTGGCTGCTGTTGAGGGAAGCCTCGGGGAGCAAAGAAGCATCGGTGAGAAGCCGGCTTGAAACGAGAGCAGAAAAAAATGTCTGTGGTTGTCCTCTAAATCTTGTAGCATGTTTACTCTCAGAAAGTACAGCTACATTACCAAAAATCAATAGTTCTAGCAGCGTTCTCCCCGGGAAACACTCGGACACACGAGAGGTGGTACGTCTTAAAAAAGCCAAGGGATTACAAAGTGCTTTGGTACAAGGGCTTTGCTTCACTTATAGCAGCGTACAAATGGAGGGCCCTTGACCTGGGCAGCATCTTCTGGGACTTTTGGATTGTCTTTCCGGTCCGATGTGCCTGAGGCTGTGCGAGGCAGGAGGGGCTGGGGGAGGGTTTGGCTCATTAACTAATTTTGCCACTTTTTGCTTTGAAGTACATGTATTTTGTAAGAAAAACAGGTTGTAGTGTGAAGAGATAATATAAACGAGTATTTGAGAGGTTCTTCCTTTGGCTGTTTTGTGTAAAGGTTTGACTTCCAGGGTTGCTGATGGGACTGGCACATCCCAGCATTTCGTTTGTATTCTTCATGTTTGCAAAGACTTCATTCTACAGAAATGCATCTCATCCCCCTTCTCTTTTTAAAAAAAATTAAAAAAAAAAAATCCTTCTCAAATCCTAGTATCTCCTTGCTTACCAGCGCGCCTACCGCTCCCTCCGTTAGGAATGGAGAGAAATGATTTCCCTTTTTCCTGGCTGGAGAGCGCTCTGTGAAGGAAAGGAGTGTCGATACGAACAGGCGTTTTGACACAGATGGGTGTTAAGGTTTGGGGTGAGCGGGCACGCTGGCGGCAAGCGCTGCAGCACGTCCTGGAGAGCTGGAAATCATCCTTCCTTCTCGGATCAGCCAAACCAAAAAGAGAAAGGAGACCAACCCCTTTTTACTAACATCTCTTATTAATGAGACATTTTATCCTAAGTCTTCTAACATGAACTGCGCAGGCTTTTGGGAACATAATTAATCTTTAATTGTATAAATCTTTAATTGTATAAAATGGAGTTTGTATGGCTGTAGTCATTTCTCTTCTCTCTTTTCCTCCTTGAGACGCTCCCTTAGCACAACTTGTTTGCAACAGGGTGCCCCGCTTCAGGGCAGCGGCCGTGTGGAGCCGCACACGCGGTGTCCCTTGAAGCCAAGCTCTTACGGAGGGGCCTCTTGCTGGGACGGGGACCTGCGTGACCCCGGTGGCAGGGCATCTGGCTCCTGCCGAGTACACGCTGGGAAGAACTGGCAGCAAGTTGCGGCTTAATATGAGTCTGAGTGATTAGCAGCGAATTACTTCGGGCCCTGTGCAAAGTAAGTCCTTGTGTAGGGGTCTTAAGGGACAAGCGTCCCCCAAAAGGCGGGATGAGCCGCAGGGAGGTGCGGGTGAGCCGGAGGCTGTCCACCGCCTCTCCCAGGCAGGGATGCTGTGACTAAATGGTCTGGCGCGGAGAAACCCAGTTTTTCGCAGCGTTTGTGCTAACCCAGATGCTTTTTGCAGAAGCAGCTTGAGGGTCGACTGCCCGTGCTGCCACGCAGGCAGGTCCGGGGAGGAGGAGGTGGTTCCTGGCAGGTGGGTTGCTCTCTGCAGCACATCTGTCTGCAGCTGCAGCCGTTTCAAACCGAAGCAAGGGCTTAGCAATGGCTGAAAGCTGGCTCGGCATGCATAAATACCCCTTCTCTTCAAAGATGCTATTCTGGCTGTTGTGTGTCGGTGGGGAATTGCTGGCATCAGCCAAATCCTGCACGGAGAGTTGTCTGGGTGAGCTGGCAGGCTGGAGCAGGGGCTGGATCCATCACCGTGCCCGGGATCTGGTCTGCGGTGCTCCCTGGCCGAAGCCCTGCTTGCTCCGCACCTTTCCTTTGTGGAGGAGTGACAGCGAAACCAGGAATTGTCCTGAAAGAAACCGAGCCGGTCTCTTTGCAAAACGGGGGTATTTGCAAAGTAGAATACCCTTAGGAGAAGCAACAAAAGAGCAGTCATGCCCAAATCAGTGCTAGGCAGTGCCAAATGCCTTTTTGGAGGAGGTGAAGTGCAGCCTTTCAGATGCTAACGAGGTATTTGGGGGTTCGATCATTCGCTGTATGGAGGAATTGGCTCCAGGACAGAGGGGTTGTAATTAATGCATCAGCTTTCACTGGTCGTTAGCGTTCCTGACTTCTGTAATGGCTGGAAGGGGTGTGCGACTGTCTTGAGCCTTCGACTCTCTTAAGCTAGCGCCTGTGGGGACAGATAGAAAATTTAATAGGAGACAGATGGAATGGACGTTTCGGAGGTCTCCGCGGTGGGGAGATGTCACTGCTCAGGCCCTCAGGGACTCGCAGCGCTCCCATTAAGCAGAGTTTTGAAATTAGCATCTCCACCGAAGAGCTTTTCCTAAAGCACGACTGATGTTTCCAGGTAGAGCAATTTCCTGCATCTTAATGGAACGGGAGGAGCACTTTATGCTTGGACAAGATGCCTTTCCAGCAATACTGCTGAACTTCCCCGTAAGAAATTCTGATGTCATTTTTTGGGTCTGCTTCATAGATTGGATTAATCAGCAGAGCCACGCCCTCTGGGTCCCCGAGTTGGCTTGCTTTCATTAATTTGCACTGAAGCCTTTGCCGAACAAAGAAGGATTTGTTGAACAAAGCGGGGTCAGTGCCGGGATGAAGAGCCTTGCGCCTCTAGCCTGCTAGTTTGAATTAGGACTGAGCTGTAACTGTAAGTCGTCCGTCCGTCCTCTGGCCCGGATTGGTAAAAACCTCCCGGCCTCAATCCTTGCTCCCACGGAGCCTGCGAGGGCAAGAGCCACCCCGAGGTGGTGGTTTTCGGGGTGGTGAATGGCCTCCCCAAGCTCCCTGAATGAGAACGCGAGGTAGGGAAGGTGTGAGCAACTGCTGCTGTAGGTACGAGAGGTGTTCACGTCGTACCCTGTTTGCTTTAAAGGCTAAGTGCAGTCTCTAGGGGGGAGAACAATTTAAAGAATAGTTGCATTAAAGGCAAAACAAGTCTATGAGTAGAGGCTTTTTGCAGGAAGAGATCCGTGGACCGGCTGCAGGCTGCATTTCTCTAGGTGCCCCTCAAATGGTTTTCCCCCTCTCTTTCAGCTCTTCGAGAACTTCTACTTTGGAGAGGTACAGTTGGACTCAGTGCGTCTTTCCCAGAGGTTCTCCTCGGACGCCTCTGGCTACTACGCCACCTCTGGGCAGCTGACCTTCTCCTGAAGCGGCAACGCAGCCGCTGCAGCTTTTATAGGACATGAATTTTGGATGGGAACCCGGGAACTCCAGGTGTGGCTGCCTCACGACTCCTTGAAAGCACACTGCAGCCGGGAACCGCGGCATTTCCCGCAGCTTTTCCTACACTGCCCTCCCTTTGGGCGGATCCGGAGTCCTTCCGCCTCCTTTCCCTATCGGTAACCAAAATGTTGCAAAGTTGCCTTGTTTGATGTCTGTTCCCTCTTTGTTTTCCAAGAAAACAACTAGAAAAACTGGTGCAGATGGCTTTTGGGGCATCGGCGATGTTTAAGCGTGGCTTCATTTCAGAAGAAGGAAGTTTGTTTTTAAAATAAGTATTGAAAATCCAAGAGAGCTCCCCGGAGCTTGATTTAACAATATCGAGGTCAGGCATTGCTTGGATCTCCAGCGGCGTCCCTGTGTGATGTAGATCTCCAAATAAATTAATTCCCTTCAAAAGCGAAGCGTTTACCTCCTGTTGCATTGATAGTTTCTGTAATTAAACTTCCAGCACACAACTATATTAACAAGAAAGCATTTATGGTAAGAGCTCTTTCCGGTGACTGTTTTTGGAGCGTGTCAAAAAACATATTCCTTGTAGGTGGTTTCTCCGTTAAAAGAAGAGCAAAATTCTTTGATACCATTGTGAATCCTTCGGAGATCTGAAGAGGACTGGTTTTTTTCTTGTAAATCTCCCCGTTGGGTAAGAATAGCGACACAGGCTTTCAACTCGCCTGAGGATGAACGCTTTGAAAATTGGAAGGTGCTGGTGTTGAGTTGTTTTGCGACAAACTGGAGGAGGCGGCAGCTGCTGCTGCCCCGTTCCTGATTGCTGCCGTGACTGCGGAATCGTGCTGTCCTGGAGGCAGCGAGCGCATTTGATAGGGACAGGGCTGATACAGCAGCTCCCGCATGTACTAGTGAGCGTTTTTAAGAGGTTTTCATCCCGTTTCCTCCCTCCCGAAGTGAGCTGGCTGTGTGGCCGTGCTCTGACTGCACATGCCAACAGCGGCGGAAGGCTGTCGGGATTCGGGGTGGCTTTCCTTTTTTTCCCCAAATGCGTTGCCGGTTGTATTTCCAACACCAAATTGCCTATCTCTGCCAGGAAATGAAATCATCTGTAGTTTTGCTGGTTGCCCTTTACCCCGGAGTCCGCGCTTGTACCCAATTACAACCGCTGGGCTTTTTGTCTCTGCTTTTCCTTGCAGCCGAACGCCTTTGTGCTCTCCATGCGGAGGAGGAAAGGCCACCTTCAAAACCCTTCCCTCGGCGGGCAGAGCAGAGCACTGGCGCGCTCTCTCTCGCAGCGCCGTGCAGGGAAGGTGCCGAGAGCACTTAACACCGGTTGCTGTCATCTTTTCCGCCAGGCTGAAGAGGTACTTGGCAAATCGCATCAGCCGCCCAAAGAACAGACCCGGGAGCTGCTCGCGCAGCCGCCGGCCGTGCTGCCTGCCGCAGGACGAGGAGATGCACCCCACAAAGCTTCTGCATTTTTAACAACTCTCACCAAAAAGCTGAGCGCTACGGGACACGGGGTGCTGTTTGCACTCCGGTTTTCCTTAATAGGGCAGCGGTGGCATTTCCGTCACACCTCTGTTGCCACTTTAAACTGGCGATCCTCATTTCGTCTTCTTTTTTGAGGTGATCTTGCAGTCTTCTCACCTCCCTAACGCAGGAGTAACTTTGACCTTCCCCCAAAACCGTAATCTTTCTACAAAGAAGGGCAGATCTGAGGACACTCCTCCACTTCCCACTCACGTAGGCGCCTTTTAATGGCAATTGTTTCTGTGACCGCTTGGAAGTTGGTTGAATTTCAGCGGTAAGCAGCTTATCCTGCTGCTCTAGCCTGGCATGGCTAAATGCATTTCACACCTCCATCCCCGCACGGAATTAAGGGTTCTGGTTTGTTCCTCTCCACGGCGGAGTCGTCGGTTAGGCTGCGATCCAGCAAACCGTTGTGCGCGTACTTAAATTTGCGCCTGGCTTGATCCCCTTGCGTAACGTTGGGCACGTGTGTGGGTCTGGTGGAAGGTGAAGGGTGAGGGCAGGGGTTGGAAGATGGGGGATAGGGGTACGGGATAGGGATTTGGTGGGGATGGAGGGTGAGGGCTGCAGGGGTGGGGGCACCGCAGGGACAGGGATTGTGGGATGGGGCACAGCAAGGGATGGGGATGCAGGATCAAGGGACAGGATGGGAACAAGGGATGTGGGATAGGGAATGAAGGATGGGGACAGGACAGGGACCAGGGATGCAGTGTGGGGACAGGGGATATGGGGTGGGGACATAGAGGGGACTGGGAATGCGGGATGGTGGAAGTGGGATGGAGCTGGGGCAGGGATGGGGGGATGCGGGATGGAGATGTGGCAGGGGTGGGGACATGGTGAGGACCAGGGAGGAGTGCAGGATTTGGGGTGTGGCAGGGACAGGGGATGCAGGATGAGGGATGTAGGAAGGGGATGTGGCATTGACCAGGGATGCAGGATGGGGACAGGGCAAGGATGGGGATGCAGGATGGGGACTGGGTATGGACCAGGGATGGGGATGTAGGATGGACCAGGGAGGTAGGATAGGGACAGAGCAGGGATAGGGGATGCGGGATGGGGACAGGGCAAGGACAGGGATGCAGGATGGGGATGTAGGATGGACCAGGGAGGCAAGATGGGGACAGAGCAGGGACAGGGGATGCGGGATGGGGACTGCGTATGGACCAGGGATGCAGGATGGGGCAGAGGCAGGGACAGGGGACATGGGATGGGGACATAGAAGGGACTAGGAATGCAGGATGGGGGAAACTGGATGGAAATGTGTCGGGGCTGCGGGGTGGGGACCCGGTGGGGACCGGAGATGCGGGATGGGGGATGCAGGATGGGGACAGGGCAGGGACGGGGGAGGGGGGATGGGGA